TTTTTCTTTAAAAGTGTTCCCTCATCTAGCTGGAATACTTATTTAGTGCCGAATCTTTGTATTTTACCTCCAATCAACTTTCTACTATTAATGAGTCATTGATATCGATAATCAGCCAAAGATATAGCTGATAAAACTAAGAATCGGACTAGTTATCTATCAAATTATCTTTATTTTATTTTATTTTACTTTTTCATTACTTGCGCGAATGTGATAGTCCTTGTCCCTATCTTTGTGTCGTTTTCGGTCTGTATTCCCCTTTCCCTTCTGTACGCGTGTATGTACTGCCAGCACGACCCAGATGCCATTAGTCTTTCTTTGCCTTCGCTTGGCTTTGGTTCTCTACCCCTTCACACAGCTGCAAGCAATGGCCGCAGTTCTTGTCTTAAACTCCTTCTGGCCGCTTCTTCCCCTCCTGTTCAACCTATTTCGGATCGGGGGCGCTATGGTCGACCGAACGGTGCAGCTCAATTTGGCATCTGCTCTTCTCGCGGCCACTCACTGCCCCGTTCGGTGTCGAATTACTGGCCTCGTAGTAAGGTTAATCAACAATGGCGGCCGGTCGCGCGACTACTCGCCCCACCGTGCTTAGGATCCGCAGCTTATTGCCGCTTTGTGCAGATAAAGGACTACATGATGGAAGGAGAGGCCTTGGGCGATGGCTACGCTGCCTCCACGCAACTGTACGCCTGTAGCCTGAATGGTCTTTCTGCCACGTATCGCGCTTCGTTTTGGTATGAGACTATTCGTTAGCACTTGTTCTTTTTTATTTAGGGAGATGTTTGTCTTCTCATTTTGCGAATTAGAGCAAGGCAGATACAAGGAAAATGTAAATGATTATTAATGGCCTATGCTGAGACCTGTTTGGCCTGATCAATCATAAAATGGTACGTAAAGAGCTGAATTTAAGGTCGCGGTGGGGCTAAAAAAGCACAGGTAGACTACTTTAGGATAAGCCTGATGAAAGGGATTCGAAAATCGGCTTATCTGGAAGCTCACGAAGATTGTCTACAACCCATAACTGCCTATTTGAGTGAAGAAGTCCTTGAAGCACCGCCCTAAGTCTCCTGATGAAAAAGCGCTAGGCCTTTATATGTTCCGCCACCATAGGCATCATTAGAGCTATATATTTTGAGATGACTCTTCATTTCGAAGGCAAGGTTGGTTGGAAGGATTTCATGATATGATCTCATCGTAAAACGAAGGAGAATTGCCGCATAAGGAAGACTGTTATATTGTGCGAAGAATTCATCGGCTCACCATCCTGTGCTAAGCTTTTGTTTGTACTGTGACAGAAAGCATCAGAGCAGGAAACTATAGATACGAAGAGTAAGTGGGTTTCGACGATTCTCTTGGGATAACATTGTTGGAGATACTTTCATTTCGTATGAAAGTGCATGAAGAAGAGATTCGAATGTCGATCTCACCAGAAGAGGACGGCTGAATCCCGTTGTACTGCAGCCGTTAGGAGGTCTCGTGGGCCTCGTCAACAAGAACGTCGTATTGAAACCAAATGGCTGAAGTACAATGGGATTCACCAGTCGTCCTTTGGTGAGATCAACTTTCGAATACCCTAGTAAGTTGATACTAGCATATATTTCATTTGGTTGGAGAAGGCGGGTCAAAAGAATTCGTAGATTGTCCTCACTGAATATGGCAAGAGGGTTGTCTTGGACTTTGTCTGTTGAGCTGTGCGAAGAAAACCTTTGCTCACCGTCCTACGATCGTGCTGAGCTTTCGTCCATCATGTGACGGACATCGTCAGAGCCAGAAACCACTATTCACGCAAAAAGCATAAAAAACGCTAAACTGAGAAAGGTGGGCAGCTGAAATTTTACTTGCTTCTTATACACTACTTTGCGACATTAATGAGGCATTCCATGATTTAGGTGGCTCAATTAAGACCTGGACGATGAGTTGTCCAATTCCTTATTTTGTCCAAACTAATGGTTTTACTTCACCATATTTCTCAATATTTTGGAATTGTTAACAATTAATCCTAGAGGATAATTGTTCTCAACTATGATTTTTCTTTGCCTTTCTAACTCTTGTTCTTGATGATTTAGGACAGCTAGGCGTAAACTCCTTATTATAATTGATTTCATTACGCATATCTTAACACCATAAGTATGGTTCGAGAATAAATCAAGAAGGAAACCAACATTTTTGGGTTTCCTATATACATCTCTACCCAGTCTGCCCCCATTTTTACTAACTAGTACGTCTAAAAAGAGTAACTTGTTGTCTTTTTCTAACTCCATAAGTAATTTAGTCGCCTTATCTACTCTATTAATTTAACCAAGAAATTTATCCAAACACTCGTTGCAATGCTGTCAGATAGCATGGCAATCATACATATATCTGACCAATAGTTTCTGAACTAGTAGTAACTCCTCAAAATGCCGAAGAGGTCTTATCAAGACCTAGGCGAGGTCGAAACTGCAGTCCAACATGGATGAGAACAACTTTTAGGAAAGCAAAGCTATGTGGAATTCAATGGAAATGTCAGTACTACTCATATTATTGTGGGAAAATTCTACCACCAGTCCTTCTTTACCTTAAACGATATAGAGTGAATACATCTCATATAATTCTTGCTTAATTTCCTACATTCGTTCATCTTATTCAGGATGTTCTTTGTTTTATTATTTTCAATTGGCTTTCTGATCTTCCGTTTAGCTATCTAGTCTCTATATCTGGCAAAATGTTGGGATTTAGACCACTTTTTCTGGTGTACTGTAGCGACTACATGTTCAGCATGTCGACAAGTCTCCCTCAAATAAACATTACCTCATGAACACAAAACCTTATAACAATCTGGTCTGCAGATTCTATAGAAGAAGGCATGATTTAAGAAAGCGTTATTATTTCTTTATCCATTGTCTTGACGCTCCATTGCCTCAGTAATTCGCTTATCTTTTTTAAAAGCTTGCAGGATGGTAATATTATGAACTAGACAAAGAATTGTCTAATTCCTTGTTTTATCTCTAGTAGTGTTTTCCATTCAAGCTATTTCCTAATATTTTAAAATTTTTAACAATTAATCCTAACCGATAATTGTTCTTAACTAAAATTTTTCTTGGCCTTTTAACTCATGTTCCTGATGTCTTACGTCCGCTAGACGCAAACTCGTAAATATCATTGACTGCCCTACTCCTAACTTAACATCATAAGTACGATTCGAGAAGAAATTAAGAACGAAATCCGCATTTCTAGGGGAATTTATTTGCCGGATATGGAAACTTCACAGCTAAGTGGAAGATCAAGGAGTCGATTTGAATTAACAAAGAACATCTAGAATAGGAGGAACAAATGTAGGAAGCTAAGTAAGATTTACCTCTGACTGCTAAATATGATGATATATATCTGCTGCTCTTTCTGTATCACTTACCCGCTTACATGCATGTAGGACAAGCATAAAACATCCAATCAAAGAATGGAATGCCTCATTAAGATTTCAAAGTGAGGTAGAAGAAGTAAGTAGGATCTCAAATGGCTAAATTTCCTAGTTTAGCGTTTTTGGTGATTTTTTCGAGAACATTGCTTTCTAGCCCTGACGCTGTCCATGACATGACGGATGCAAGCTCAGCACGGAGTCATTGGGGTTGTAGAACTATGAGCCGAGGTCTTCATCTCAATATTTCAGTCTTCCCTATGCGGGAAACGTCCTCGGTTTCCGGTGAGATCACATAATTACTTTCCTTCGACCAATTTTTATTTCGAAATTAAAAGTCATGCCATAATATATCATTAAGATATTCTTCGAAACCCAGTTTTTCTTCATGTCATCAGGGCAAGCCAACATTCTTAAAGTATTCACCGAATACGACCCAAAATAATGGATGCTACTTAAGCAAGCATACCATAATCTTGTTTCTGCATACATCCTCGCCGATATGTGAAGGTGATTTAGTCCAGTATCTGTTTACTTTTTTAAACGGCCCATACTATGATTCAAGAAATTTAATACTTCTTTTCTTATGTGGTCATATATTTTTCGTATTCATGCAGCGCCAATGAGTTTGTAGTACGAGTCAAAGTTTGTAGACTTAATCAGACTTTAATCGATTTTGAACTTTACGGTATTATAAATAAAGAGCTTACACAAGCACTAAATCAACTCAGTTTTCGTATTTTAAGTGGAGTTTCGAGACTAACAGTAAATCTTTAATATGAGATGTATTCACCCAATTTCATTTAAGGTGATTAAAGACGAGTATTCGAATTTTCACACAATGATATGAGTAGAGCTGACTTTTGCACTGAATTTCACATTGCCTTGCTTTCCCAAAAGTTGTTCTCATCCAGGGTGGACTGCAGTTTCGACCTCGCA